ATTTTTATTTTAAGACGCCAAAGATACCGATGATATCAATGATACCAATGATACCATTTAATATCATTGATCTCGATTTTATAAGCAGCGTTCATAGATAAAAGAGGCATAGTCGTGGTTCTTTTACCTAAATAATCCCGTGTTGATATCTCCAATTTTTCAGAATTTAACTTTTTTCAAAAATAGATTTTTCATTATTTGAAATTATTATTTTTGTTTGCGAGGTCTGAATAAAATAATATTATAATTTAATTATATAAACAAACACAAGCGCAAGTTTTTGAAATTAAATTTAAAGATTTGCTTAAAGTAAGGCATTATATAAAACTTACTCTACAAGAAATCTTCAGAAATTGGATAGTTGCCAGATGACTAATACTAAGCTGTAACATACTTTTTTCAAACAATTTCTTGATTATATTTTCAGACGCTTAAATTACTTAATTTTTTAATTAACCACTGTAAAAAAATATATAATTTTAAAGTTATCAATTGAAAAATAATAAATAAGTTCAAAAGGTTATCCTGAATTTAAGATCCTGAATTTAAAATCCTGATTATAAAAGTTTAAGTACATTTAAAGTTTTTGAATTAAAAATCTTTTCCTGAGTTTTGTAAAGAAAAAATGCAGGAAAATGAAAGAAAAATAGCTAAATTAGCTAATTATTGATTTGGCTAATTTAGTTATTAATTAAATCAAATTAGGAAAAATGGTTTTTTTTTTTGAATAAATAATGTACGCTTTTTTTTATAATGGATATATTTTTACTGGTGATAAGACACAAAAAGCAAAAGGTCCGTATGACAAACAAAAATAATAATATGGAGATTACTTTTCATCAAGTAAACATACGTATAAAGCTTATTTATCAGGTGTTACGTAAAAAAAACTGTTGCTCAAATTATCAAATAATTAAACAGCAAAATTTTATTAATCATTCTTTGTTTCTTGGTTAACTTATCTTAAGTTATATAACAATAACGCAAAAAAAAAGGAGATTATTTACACGTTGATTGTTTACTTGTTAATTTAGTGTATTATTTATGTCATTGTTTATCTCATTGTTTATATTTATCTCATCGTTTATATTAACTTTAAAGCGAATAGTTAAGGGCTGCATTTTACTTGCAGAGATAAACGGTATAAAAAACCATGTAGTTTATTTGAGTTCCTCCAATTTTTCTTGACATTACGGCGTTTGTATAAGCGGTGGTTTTAAAATTATTAGTGTTAGTACAAAGTATTGCCGCTAGAGTAGTCTGACTGATATTTATTTTGTAAATAAGTTAACGTTAGGAACTTTATTGTGAAATAAAAATTTCAATGGTAACTATTTAGTTTTTATTTACACCATTTAAAATTTGTTTTTATTAGAAATATCAAAATTAAAATTTATTCGTATTAGTTATATTATAGATATTGGTATGAGATTCGCTTGACACATCGTAACGCCTAATACTCTTAACGCTCGACACAATGTCGTCCGCAATAAATTGCATTTTGAATGCTTGATTTCAATCAACACAAGGATTGTAAAATGATTCAGAATTATCAGAAAATATTTTATAAAATCAATTAATTTATTTCTATTGATTTATCGGAGTAAAGAATCGAGCTGAAAACGATGTGCTTTGTGTGTTTTGCAATGTCCCTTTAGCGTTAGATAAATGTGGTGTACATTGCGTCCACCGTCAAAGCTGCAATATGTGTCACACATAAACGAATAGATATGACAAAGACGTGTATGTTTGCAGTTTTTGTTAATAAAATTATGCATTTTGTCATAAAATTTGATTCTGATAAATAAATTTGAAAAAAAAAAATTGTTAATGTGGTATATTTTTTTTACTCGGTGTAGTTCAGGCGATTTACAAATTATTCGATTCTTTTATTTGGAATTAGCATAATCAGCGTATTATTTCCAAACAAGAGCTTTAGATGGTATTTTTTTTGCTTCAGATTTTTTTAATATTTAAAGAAACTTTTCTTTTTTATATATAATTTTCAAAATTATATATAAAAAAGAAAAGTTTCTATAGATTCTAGTTCTAATCGGTTCTAACGTATATTAACTATATGTAGTTGTCAAAATACAATACTTCTATCATTTGTCACAAACAATATAAGAATTCAGACCAAGAAAGAGCTTATAACGAAGAAAAATTGCTAATAAACAACCAGAACAAATCATATTATTAAACTACGATGTTTATTTTACCTAAAAAACGTATTTATTTAAAATCTGTTTCAAATTTGGACAAGCAATTGTGGTTTTAAGATTTTTTTTTTTATAAAGAATTTTAGGTCTGGATTTTTTTGCTACAAACATATATTTTATGATACCGCAAAATTTATTATTTTAATTTTTTTCTTTAATAATTCACAGACCCGATTATTTAACGGAATATATATATTTATATATATATATATATATATATATATATATATATATATATATATATATATATATATATATATATATATATATATATATATATATATATATATATATATATATATATATATATATATATATATATATATATATATATATATATAAATGGACAAGCAATTGTGGTTTTAATAAATTTAAAAAAAAAAAGAATTTTCGGTCTGGGTTTTTTTGCTACAAACATATATTTTATGATACCGCAAAATTTATTACAACGTTGAATTTACATCAGGAAAGATGTTTGCGACGGTTTTACATACGTTGTATGTGTGCTACGTGTTGCCCAAATGCCACAACCACTACCAATGATTACAAAATACAAGAAATAAATTTTGGCAAACAGCCTAAAATTTTAGTCAAATACTCATGGCACTATATTATAGCATAACTTTTGTTTTTTTGGAAACTGTTAAATGAAATAAAAGCAACTATTTGATACATTGATACTAAATTTTATTTACTTCTAGATAATATTACATCTAAAAACGCTAAAATCTAGTGGTATTAGTTCAGAAATTGCGAGAGCAATATATAACATCGAAAACGCTGATGCATACATTGACATTATATGTATAAAAATCCTAAAACGAATTCTACGAAACCCAAATCATCCGCTACACATAAAGACAAAAAACTATTTTAAAATAACAACAACACAAAATATTAACTTTGGGTTTAAGAAGCCACTTCAAATATGACATACAAAAAAAGTTTTACCCATCTAACATTGCGTCTTATAAGAGATGGAAAGCATAACTTGTACACTAGTTAATCAATCAATCATATATATATATATATATATATATATATATATATATATATATATATATATATATATATATATATATATATATATATATATATATATATATATATATATATATATATATATATATATATATATATATGTATATGTATATATATATATATATATATGAATGTAAAAATTCTGTAACTTCTAAATTTTTAGGCCATTGAATTTAAATAAAGAAATATATAAGTATCTATTTTTGTTCAGTAATATAAACATTTTTACATATATCTTACATATAACTTATTTGCGTATACTTTGTAACATTACAAAACATATAATATATACATAATTATATCTTTTTTAATACAAGTAAAAATCGGCATCAAAAAAATCTATTCCGAAAACTTTTACTATAAATTCTATTAGCATACTCACGGTCAAAAGTTATAAACTTAGCTATAGAAACTCCTAATACAGGTTTATTTATTGTATTGCTAAAAGGCTCCGTTGAAATATTTCTGGAACTTGGTCTATTAGTTTTGCAGTGTAGGTCACATAACTGTTTATCAAAATCGTTGAGAGAATTTTTATTCTTGTCACATTTCTCATCGCAATTTTTATTTTCAGTACTTGATTGATTTCCTTTTGCAACGATAGTATTCTGATATTGGGCTTTTGGCGTAGTCTGAATCCCGCTATTTAAATTTGATAACATATTCCGAAGTATCTCTTTTTTTATGCATACTGCGTCGCAACCGTAACCAAACGTTACATTTGAATTTCTAAGAGATCCCCGTGTAGTTAAAGTTGGAGCTGCAAACTCAGAATCCCCTTTTTTGTAATTTTTTACGTTTTTTAATTGGCATTTTACAGTTAACTGATTACGAAAGAAGAATAAATAAAAAATCCCAACATATGTAACTAACATGATACGTTACATAACATTCACTTGCCAACTCGACTCATCGTAATAACGCATATCCTAAGAATACATAAAAAAAAAAAGTTATCTTTAAGAATTTGAACTAATAAGAAATTAGGTTCAAAGTTCAATACCATCTGCATTCAACAAAAATAATTTTTTTAATTTCAAGCTCTTTATAAAGTTTTTTAAAAATTTGAAGTTATTTTTATTTATTGTTTAATAAAATACTGAAAACGAACTAGTTTAAATTCAATATTTTATTGAAACTTGTAACTTTTATGACAGTGCACCAATAAAACGATTACTTTTATAGAAAAAAGTTACAGATTTTATTGGTAACCTCTCCAAGATAGCAAATGTTACCCAAGAAATAGCAAGCAAGTTTTTGTTATTCATTCAATCAAAATACGTAAAAATATTATTTTAAATTGCCATTACAACGTTTAGGACATATATCGCCATACACATACATATAATGCATAGATTAGAAAAAAAAACTTAATAAATATCAAAAGATTTACCAAAAAAAATACGACCATATAGTGTCAAATGCAACTTACTAATTTAAGAGCCACTAAGTTTTGAAGTATCGAAATGTTAAAAGACATATCGGTTTGAAGCGGAAATATGAAGAATTTCTTTGACATAGATACGAAGTATAGATATATAAATAAAAACATACATTTATAAAAGATAAGCAAGGTTTAATCTCCATAAAAAAAGACTATTGGAACAATGAACACTGCAACCATTTCCTATATCTATTATCTTCATGTTAAATAAAACAAATTTTCTACGATTCCAAAGATTAAGAATAATTACATTGCAATTCGAATTCTTCAATAACAAGATATTCTTTTTATCTTAGAAATCTACTAATAATATATAGATTATTATAAAGTTAGACGTCAAAATAACTACAAAAATTACAAAATCTATAAAAACTACAAGAACTTCATAATGCATACAATTTTTAATAGGTTATTATTGAAATACTGATTAATAAAATTTTTAATAGGCATTTATTTTTTATGAAGAACTTAAAAAATTTGATATTTATAATGATACTATTTTTAAAATTACAAAACTAATATTGGTTTCAAGCAATAAGCAGCAAAGGAAAACACAAACAAGCAAACAAGAAGTACACAACTTGGGCGGACCTGTACACGGCGCACCCGAAACTCGGTGAAGTTCGTAAACGAACTCGGTAAAGTTCGAAACGATAACTTTGCCGTTTAATGATTGGCTAATATTAACGAATGAAAATTTAGCATATAAGTATTTAATTCGCGCTTCCTTCCTTCCAACAAGACCCAACGGTCTTATAAAAGAGCACCGTCCCAGTGGGCACTGGACCTAAAAAAGACGTTTTTTAAACGTTCAAAAGACGTCCAAAACGTTCAAAAGACGTTCAAAAGACGTCCAAAACGTGTATAAGACGTTTAAAAGACGTCTTTTTTACTTCCGTGCCCACTGGGGTGGAAGAGAATTTAACTTGGAATTTTACGCCTCCTTCTTTACCAATGTCTTTTATTTGGATGGAACTTCAAACATTTTGGTTCAGAACTCTAACCACTGTGCCACGGCTGCTTCTTTCAAACGCACAAGTGTATTAAAAACACAGTAGTATTTGTAAAAAATATCCTTTAATCATGTATTTTACAAAATGTAAAACACATGAATATAGAAAGGTGCATATTATTTCAAAATTAAAAATAATTGCAAAGTAGAGTATTAAAAAAAATTACTTTGGTTTTATAGTAATAGCTTTTACCATATTTCTTTGGTTAGAAAAAATGTTTTTAATAGGTATTTTGCAAAGCTTTGAAATTTATAATCGAATCAAATCGAAAAATATAATCGAAAAATCTTCCTTTATTTGAATCGAGTCAAGGTAGTTTCATTAGAAACCACTTATTATTCAAGGTAATTTTGTCATAAAATTTTAAAAATTAACTTCACAATATTTTCTAATTATTAAAATTACACTTTTTAACTTTAAATTCTAATGATAATAACATTCTAATGATTCGAATGTCATTATTCTAATAATCGTACCCATCGCAGAAGTTTTAATTTTTAAAAAGTACCAAAGTACGCATTATCCTTAACACGTAAGTCTCAAGGACTTGATTGTTGCTTTTTTTATTTGAACAAAAAAACTCAAGTTTAATTATAACATTTTATTAGAAAGTAAATATTTTTCTGTAAAACTTTGCAATTAATTTTGATTAACATTTTTTAAACTGTATTAAAACATACAACTACTACTTTCACGCTTTATAAATCTATTTTGAGCAGCCGAGGCGCAGTGGTTAGAGTTCTGGCTCAGAACCCAGAGGTCCCAAGTTCGACGCCAGCTTCAACCCAACAAGCGACATAGGTACGGAAGGAGGCGTGAACTTCCTGTTAAATGCTCTCCCGCGGTGCTCTATGATAAGAGACCGTAAAGACATCTGGGAGCACCTAAATACATACCAAAAAAAAACAAAAATTTTATAGCTATTAAATTGAGAAAACATTCTTTTATAAGCTATCTTTTAATCACGTAAACTGCTTCTAATTCTTAGTTTAACTTAAACTACTTTAGTTGTACAAAACTCTTGTACAACTTCACATTTATGAAATATAACCAGAGGCATTTGGTTCGCAAGAGACTTTTTTGACTATTAAAAATGTACTTTTTGAATCTTAAGCAAGTTCATGCTTAGATCAAATAAGAATATTTGAAAAAAAAATTGAGATAAATGTAGCCTGAAAACAAAAATGCCCCTTTCGAGCTCATCTCACCAGCGCAAAAAAAAAGGACAATCAATTAATAAAATATTTTTACTATTATATATTTTATACATAATTATATGGTTATACAGTAATAAATGGTTTATAATACCTTATATATATATATATATATATATATATATATATATATATATATATATATATATATATATATATATATATATATATATATATATATATATATATATATATATATATATATACAGTAACCCAGCGGGAACGGGATCTAAAAAAGATGTATTTTAAAAGTTAAAAACGTTCAAAAGACGTTTGAAAGGCGTTTCATTTTTTTGACCCGTGCCCACTTAAAACCTTCTAATTTCATTATGAGTTCTTGCTTTAACTTATAGTTTTATTAAGGTTTAAAATAAAGGCTCAATTAAAAGCTACTTAAAATATCAAAAACCTGCAACAAAAACTTGAGTCTAAATCCAAATGTTTGTCCAATCCTGGTGCATAAAAATAATTATTTAATAATAAAAGTAAGTTTTACATGATTATAACTTTCGCACACTAAAATACTATTAGATGAAGTTAAAAAAGTATAGATAAATATAATATATCTATATAGAGGTCCCAGGTTCGATATTTAATATATATATATATATATATATATATATATGTATATATATATATATATATATATATATATATATATATATATATATATATATATATATATATATATATATATATAATATATATATATAATATATCATAAACTTTTTCTTTCTTTGAGAAAATGTTTTTTTTTAAGTATTAGGTGGTACTATAGTTAAATGTCTAGATTTTTGGAAGAAAAGTAAAGTTGATTAATTTTCCTACAAAAAAAAAAAAAATTGAAATAAGGTTACCAAAACATTATAGTTTTTTAAAAATTCAATTTCTAAGCTTTTCAAAATGTTAACAGTAACTGTTACAGTAACAGTAACTTTGTAACTGTTACGGTAACAGTAACTTTGTAACTGTTACAGTAACAGTAACTTTGGTTATTAAACGTTCTTATACGGAAACAACTGTTGTTTCCGTATAAGAACGTTAAATAACCAAAGTACCAATTTAAAACTATTGCGTGAACGATACATTTTCGCACGTTGATGCAATTGTCAGTAATTACCGCAGTAATTTTTTTTTTCCCACCGTTTTGTCATAACTACATTATTTTTGTCCAATTTTAATAAACAAGCAAAAAATAAACTGAAAAAAGAGGACAGATCTAAACAAAAATAAAGAAAATTTATCAAAAAACTAATTACTTTTTGGCCATAAAATATGGTAAGTTAACTTTTACATTATTTTTGATTAAAGCTATTTCTTGAAAATTAGGAGGAATTTTTTAAAATATGTTTTTTAGTGTTTAAAAATGAACTTTGTATGGCCATGAAGCAAAATGGAGTTCACTTCACATAAGAAAAACAACAGCTAAGAGTTTTCAATTTTTTTTTTAAAACCATTTCAACCCAGTTCTAAAACTCTTAGCTGTTGTTTTTTTAGTTTTGACAAAACAAAGTTTTAAAAAACTTTATTTTGTCAAAGCTGAGCTTGACAAAAGTTAATGTTGAAGATCAGACATTTAAAGGACTCACTCATAATTTGTACAAAATTCTTTTCATGGAAAGCAGTTGACAATTACGACAATGTGCTAGAGTCATAAACCAGGAGCCTTTATGTATGAAGGTTTTCAGCAGCAAATAAAAGAGAGTTATCTTCTTTGTAAAGTAAAAAGTCTGTCTGAATCTTCAATTGGCTGAACTATCAAGGCAATGTCACATCCAAAGCCTGTTACTTTGAAGAATAAAGTACCTTTACAATCATTGGTATTCACCTTGAAAAATTATGTTTCAAAATATTTCTTTATCAGTATGATGATAGAATGATCAATACAAATACAAATATCTGACCAATGATCAATACAAATGCAAATATCTGAACTCAAACACAAATATCTGACCAAATTACAACTTGGTTGCTAGAATTATTTCAGTTTTATAGCTACTTATAGCCGTACACTATTTTTAATCCTAGTTAACTAATCATTTTATCTTTGAAAATAAATTTAGAAGATACCAAAAGCTCTTCACTTTCCAAACTTTGTTTGTTCATCCCATTAAAATTTTTTCAAGAAAATGCCGCCCAAAAATAATTATAATCAAAGCATAAGTTACAAGTTTAGTAAAAAACTAAATTTTTATAATATCTAGAATAGTTGTATGGTAGAATATTGGGGAAAAAAATTTTTTTTTTTCTATTTTTTAAAAATAGAAACTAAATCAAAATTATACTATTTTTAGGATTTTGCCCTGAAATTCGAGAAGTGATAGAGAGAAAAAAGGTTGCAAATCGTTTTTCACTTAAGATTTACAACAAACTTAGTTTTTAGGGTTGTTGATTTTTTGAACATTCATGTAAAAAGACGAAAATGGTAATCTTCGAGATGGTCGAGATGAAAGTACCTACTTGGTCACTCATAAGATTCTACTGCATGTTGTTGAGAAGTGCCGCAACTGTAAAATTTTTTACAACAACAAGTTTTTTAACAGTACTAAATATTGCAGACAGTTTCGAATCACAAACGAAACCGTATTAAATATTTGTAGAACTTTTATTGTGTATTTCTGACAATTCTCTGTAAATAACTCATCTCATCACTTCACATTGCAGAATGATAGAAGCTTATTTGAAAAAACCTTAAAAAGGTTTTTTCAAATAAGCTTCTATCATTCTGCAATTTTTACTTCAAGCATTAGAGACTCTTCTTAAGATTGTGTACAAGCAAAACATGAAAAAATATTCATATACGCTTATCTCATATCTCTTGAGGAGGAAAATCATCTGAAGTAGCGAAAAAGAAGTTAAAGAAGAATTTCGATAAAAACTGAGCTTGATCGTAGATCAGTATACTCACCCATGGTAGATCAGTATACTCGTCGTATACTCATTGATGCATAACACATCCATGAATATAGGAGTATAACTATCAATATATTTTATTCTGAAAATATAGATGTTTTCCCATACTGACGAGCCGGGTCAACAAGCGGGCAACAAGCCCACATAAGGGCATAA